CCCCCACTTTACGATATCTCCGCAGTAACACTCCTTTGCCCTGTGGTTTGCACTGCACAAACATCGTTCCTACTCCATTCACCACTGGACACATGTAATACCGGTTTACACGCTGTCGATCCACTTTGCAATGCAAGGACGTCATCTTGTAGAAAACATCTTCGCGTTTCGGGTGGAACTTTTTGTCTTGCACCACCTTGCAGTACAGATCATAGAGCGCATAGGGTCCAGCGTTCGGAATGAAGTTCACGTTGTCCTCGTTGGCAATGGGGCGGGTGAAGGTATCGACAAACTGTGCGATAATTGTCGCAACTGGTCGAGGAGGAGTAGAATTACGTCGTGTCGGCGGGGTAATGGCTGGAACTGGATCAGCTAGTGGAGAAGAAGGCGTTGGAGGAGTAACAGCGTCGTCTTCCGTCTCCACGCGCCTCCTCTTGGGACTAGGTAGTGGCACAGCTTCCACTTCATCACCACTAAATGGCGCGATCGGTCTGATAATACTGGTAACCGCGGTATTCGCACTGCTCATAATGTAGTCATCTTTTTCTTGCACTATTAGCTTGTAGTGCTGTCCATTCGGTAACGTCGAGGATGCGGGAACCACGTCGCCATCGGCGTCCCGTAGCAGGAACTCCGTGTCTCGAGGCAGACGCAGCTGGACACGTATTGCCTTCTCCACTTGAGCGTCCGATGTACCCATGTACCAGCAGATTCGACGCGCAGTGCCACCACCTTCCGATGCGACGTACACATTTACCTTCATAGCTGCAAAATGGTGAACACAAACGATAAAATTAAAATGATGTGCACCACACAATTTGTGGAATGTTGCCCATGTTGAAGTTGACATGGCTTCACTCTAGAGCTCACACTCCATGGCCTTCAGGTAAGCGGCCCAGGACTCTTTCTCCGCTCGCCGTCTATTGGAGCGCGCAGATTTCACGTCCTCGAAGTCGCAAGTGTCCAAGTTGAGGCGGGAAGTGCGGCGTGACATGAGCCATTCGTCTTCCGCCTCGTCGGACTTCAACGGGAGCACGTAGCTTTTGCGCTCCTTACGCTGGCGCTGGAGCAGCTGCTGTCGCTGTCTGGCCGATGCAATACTTGCAATCTTAACTAGAGAATTCACGTAGTCGGTCGTGCGAGGGGCGTCGATATACGAGGCCTCGTTGGACGAATCAACAAAGTCCAGAGACGAGTCTGTGAGCGACGATGGAGACTGCAACATTGGTAGTGCTCCAAGTACAGGGGCGGATGCTAGCGGGGAGCTTGGCACACGTGGACGCTTCCCTTCTGATCCAGAGGTTGGTGAGACGCGTAGTCGATTCCGCTTGGATCTGCGGTTGGATTCGGAGAGACTAATCTTCCGCACACGAGTTCGTGGACGTCCAGCGCTACTGGTTCGAGCTCTGACCGTGTCCGGATAAGGCGGTTGTGTTCTTTCATGCCTTGTGTTATGCGGAGTGCTGGATCTAGGTAGCGGTGCCGTAGGTTTCGAAGCTCTGGTGGCACTGTGTCGCACGGGAACTCTCTTTG